TGTCGCCTCGGTCGCCCAAGAACGCGAGGGCGCCTGACCATACCCCTAAAGGATCACTGCTCGCTCCGCGCCCGCCGCTGGGTCGCCGTTTTCGGGCCGCGGTGGGCATCAGCGTCGTAACTTCAACCGAAGAATCGGAATCGCCGCGACGCGCCTTCCGCGAGCGCGGCAGTAGGTCCGCCGGACCGCTCGGGGAGCCGTCCGCCGTGGCGCAGGGATCGCGTCGCAGCGCGCCGCGCCGCGCTCACGCCGGCGCGGGTCCCACCGTCGCGGCGCGGTATCGGCCCAAAGGCGCCGGGTCCTTGACGGGGCTGGCCGCGGCGCGCGGGCCTCGTGCGAGGCTTCCGTGGAAGCGATGCATGCCAGGTGTCGCTACGCGCACGGCTTCGACCGCTGCCGTCGAGCGCCGCGCCGCGCTCGCGCGGCGCTCGGAGGCCATCGAGGGCCCCCAACCGGCGCCGCAGGGCCTGCCACGGCGTCGACGGCCGCGCAGCGATGGGCGCGCGGTCGCAGCCGTGAGCGCGACGGCCGGGCCGCGCCGCATGGGCTGCGGCTCGCCGCGGCGGCGCATCTCCACGCGCGCGCAGGAGGGGGGCAGGCATGCTGCCCCATGCTCTCACGCTACTTCAACAAAATAGTTGAAGCTTCGAAAAAGCCCCTGTCCAAAATGACCTCGCGCCGGCCGCGCCGCGCGCCGCGGCCGGCGCCGGCGCCGCCCGCGGTCGAGCTGTCCCTCGTGGCCCTCGCGGAGAACAATCGACAGCTCACGGCGGAGCTCGTTCAGCGGCGCGCGGCCTCCGTCGCGTTGAGCGGGGCCGTGAGGGCGTTGAAACGGAGGTTGATCGCCGCGACGACCGGCCCGACGGTCGCCGACGCGTCGACGCAGACGGCGCCGCCGAGCCCGCCGTCCGCGTCGACGTCGTCGACGAGCTCGCCGTCGACGCGCGGCGCGCGCTCGCCCGACGACGCGTCGCTGAAGCTCGACGACCACGCGCGGCCCGCGAAGCGTCGCGCGCGGCGCCCGGGAGCCCAGGGCGTCGTGTCCTACGCGGAGCCGTCGCTCAAGGCGAAGATGCGCCGGCCGCGGTCGCCGTCGTGACGGCCCTCGTGGTGCTCGACGATCGATTTCTTCGCGACTCCCCGGAAGCGCCGAAGAGCCCCTAGCCGCGCGCGCGCAACGCCGTCGCCGGAGCACGAGGACCCGTGAGCAGGGGGCTAGGCGTAGTGCTTAACGAGCTTCGCGAGCGTTTTCGCGCGTAGGGAGCGCCTAGCGCGCGCGGTCCGCCGGCCCCGCTCTCGGATTCCGCGAAATTCCGGCGACGCGGCCACGCCGCGAGGAGTCGCCCGTAGAGGCCTTAAACCGGTCGCATCGCGCGGTGGCCCCCGTGCGCCGGAGTGCGCATGCTTGGGTTTCGCGATTCAGCCGTCGACCGCGGCGCGGCGCGGCGTCACGACGGCCGTGAAGCGCGCCGGCTTCCGGGGTCGGCCGCGGCTCACGCGCCGGGCGGCGCGGCTCGCCCAGAGCACGAGGGCGGCGACGACGACCACGCCGGCTTGATTGCGCGCGAGCAACGTCGCGACGACGGCCGCGACGAGCGCGCGCGGCGTCGCGGCCGGCGGGGGCGGAAGCAGGAGCGGCGCGCAGGGCACCGCCGGCCCCCTCGCGCCCCGGGCGTGGCAACTCGCCGTGAGCACCTCGAGGAAGGCCGCGTTGCGGGGCGGCATGGGCTCCGGAGGCGTCGGAGGGCGGTTGGGGGGCGGCGGTAGGCGTGGTGAGGGCGAGGGGCCGAGGCTCTGTTTCACTCACAACCCAAATCTCACAACCTCTACACCATGAACGCCTCTACCGCCTCCAACCCGCGCCTCAAGGCCCTCGTCAAGGGCATGCGCGCCTTCGACGCGACCGCGTGGTCCGCGTACGGCGGGCGCTGCTCGCCGCAGGCGTCGCGCGCGCCGAGCTCGTGCGCGGTGATCGATGAGGAGGCCGAGTTCGAAAACGACGCCGCGTCCGTCGTCAGCGTCAACTGGGAGGCCATGAAGAAGCCCGCCGCGCTCAAGAAGAAGGACTCGCGCACCTTCGCTTTCGACGACTAGGCGCCGAAGCCCTACCCCTCCGCCGCGCGCGAGGTCCCCGATCCTCGGGCAACGACGAACGAGTCGGACTCGCGCGCGCGCAAAGCGGCCCCCGCCCGGAGCGCGGCGGCGCGCATCGGCCTAAGCATGCCTTCCCCCCGAGTGCGCGACGCGCTTGGTAAGCTTTAGTCGTGTTGCGCGCGCGCGGGCGGCCGCGGGTTCTCGCGCTTCTCGGAAGCGGCCAAAACGCGGCCTCGCGCGAAGGGCTTCGGGGGGGCGGGGCGCGCGTGGGCGGCGCGGGCCGTGCTTGGGTGGTGGCCGCGGCCTACGCGCAGTGGTCGTAGAGCTCGGGGTACGCCGTGAGGATCGCGCGGGAGCTCGAGTAGGCGACGCCAAACGTGTCGAGCCAATTGCTCTGATGATTGATCGAGACCTTCGTCCACCCGGCGGCGAGGAGGTAGAGCGTGAGCTTCTCCGGGTCGACCTTGCGCTGCTTGCGCGGCGGCGACGCGGCGACCGTCGGCGCGGGCTTCGGCGCGGCCGCGGGCTCGTCGGCCGGCTTGGCCGCGGGCTCGTCGGCCGCGGCGGCCTCGATGGGCTTGGGCGCGACGTCCTCCTCGTCGTCGGAGCTCTCGTCGCCGGAGGAGAGCGAGGACTCGTCGCTCGACGACTCTGAGTCGAAGCTTGAGGGCGGCGCGCGGGAGGCCATGGCAAAGTGGCAGTTGGCAGTTGGCAGTTGGTGAAGATCAGCTGAGTTCCAAAGCTATCTGACCTCCCACTCACCATGCTCGACTCCGTCACGCTCGATCTTTACCGCGCCGCCATGAACTCCGACGCCTTCGGCCGCGGCCGCGAGGCCAGCAAGGTGCTCGCGATGGACACATGCCCGACGACTTCGACTTCATGCGCGGCCTGCTCGAGGACGCAGTCGACGAGGCGCGCGCGATCGCGTCCCCGACGCCGAGCGCGACGCCTACGCCCACGACGCCCACGACGCCCGCGACGCCCACGACGCCCACCTCGACGTCCCCCTAGGAGCTCCGAAGCATAGAGCTCTAGAGTCGCGCGCGTCGTAAAACTCGTCGTCGGGCCCGGGGAACTTAGCGGAAGCGCGCGGACGAGGTCGCGGGCCGGGGAGGCGCGCGGGCGGCGGAGCATCACGCGGCCGCGTTCGCGAGCCGGAGCTCGCGCTCCACCTGCGCCTCGAAGGCGCGCAATTCGTGGAGGAAGCTCTTCGGCGCCCGCGTCGGGCTCGAGCGTGGCGTGACGGCCGCCGCGCGCGCGCAAACGACCGACGGCGCGATCTTGTTCGCGCGCGCCCGAGCGGCGGCGGCGACGACCAGCGCCGGAAGCGCGAGGAGGGCGAACGGCGGCGGCACGCGCGCGCGCGGGCCGCGGTAGTCGTAGGCCGGAGCCGCTTCCGCGAAGCCGACGACCGCGAGCGACGCCTCGAGCGACGGCACGACGAAGGCGACGCGCGTCGTGGGGAGGATCGCGGCGCGCGGCATGAGCGCGAGGAGCGCGAGCGCTAGGCACATCCCGCCGGGCGCGTGGTTTAAGTTGTCCCTTAGTTTTGAACTTTTGACGGTTTGGATAGTGAGGCTCACAGCTCAACTCACCTGAAGTAGGCCCCTCATTCCACTTCCACGCCACCTCCCGCGCCGCCCCGACCCTCGGATCATGTCGCGCACCGATGCGCGCCCCGCGCCCTCGCCCCCCGACGCGACCGTCGCGTGCCTCGACGACGAGGCGGCCGTCGCCGCGGCCCACGCGGTCGTGACGTCGTCGTGCCTGACAATCGCGTTCGCGCGCGAACTGTTCCCCGAGGACCAGTTCCGCATCACGCGCACGAAGCAGTTCAAGCTCCTCACGCGCGCGCCGCGCGCCGCGCCCGCCGGGCCCCGGTCGGTCGACGCGCGCGCGCCGCTCGGCGTCGTCGATTCCGCCGTGACCGTCGACGACTTC